CTATGTCCTCCACTCTAGTCTGTCCTCCACCCTAGTAGCGATGGCAGCGATGGCCTCCAACCCTAGTAGCTGTGGCCTCAACCCGAGTAGCAATGGCCTCCACTGTAGTAGCTATGGCCTCCACCCTAGTAACGATGGCCCCAACCCTAGTAGCGATGGTCTCCACCCTAGTAGCGATGGCCTCCACCCTAGTAATCCATCGTTGGTCTTCAATCGGCCTCCACCGTAGTAGCGATGGCCTCCACCCTAGTAGCGATGGCCTCTACCCCCAGTAGCGATGGCCTCCACCCTAGTAGCGATGGCCTCCACCCTAGTAGCTATGGCCTCCACCCTAGGAGCTATGGCCTCCACCCTACCCGGCCTCCACCGTAGCAGCGATGGCCTCCACCCTAGTAGGGATGGCCTCCACCGTAGTAGCTATGGCCTCCACCCTGGTAGCTATGTCCTCCACTCTAGTGGCGATGCCCTCTTTCCTCCACCCTAGTAGCGATGGCCTCCACCGTAGTAGCGATGGCCTCCACCCTAGGAGCTATGGCCCCCACTCTAGTACAATGGCCTCCACCCTAGTAGCGATGGCCTCCACCCTAGTAATGGCCTCCACGCGATGGCCTCCACCCTTGTAGCTATGTCCTCCACTCTAGTCTGTCCTCCACCCTAGTAGCGATGGCAGTGATGGCCTCCACCCTAGTAGCGATGGCCTCCACCCTAGTTGCGATGGCCTCCACCCTAGTAGCGATGGCCTGGTAGCGATGGCCTCCACCCTAGTAGCGATGGCCTCCTCCCTAGTAGCGATGGCCTCCACCTTGGTAGCTATGTCCTCCACCTTAGTAGCGATGGCGTTGCGATGCTCACCACCCTGGTAGCTATGGCCTCCACCCTATTGGCGATGGCCTCCACCCTAGTAGCGATGGCCTCCACCCTGGTTGTTAGCTATGTCCTCCACCCTAGTCTGTCCTCCACCCTAGTAGCGATGGCCTCCACCCTAGTAGCGATGGCCTCC